ATGGCAAAAATGACCCCAGTTTTACGATGGCATTTATCTGTGCTACTTGCACTGTATCTTGCGTGTACCTTTATTCCAAATATTAATGCAGAAGATGAAGGTACAAACCCAGTGACCAGTTCTAGTAATTTGGGAGTCAATAACACCCTTCTGCCAGAGGATGAAATAGAAGAAACAGATGATTTTAATAGTACAGCAAAGGTGCCAAGTAATTTCACAACAAATGGAACAGACACAGATTATGAAGATATTGATAATGGCACCTATACAACTGAATATCCAGAGGAAAACATCACAACCCCATCAACTGAGCTTCCAGCAACCCTGCTTCCTGGCACTAATATCAGTACAGAGCTAATTGTGGATGATTTCTGTCTGTGTGATCTGAAGGTTAGAATAAGAAACTAATTTAGACATCAGTATTAAAGATATTTGTGATTATGTATGGAGAATATTATGACGTATAGTTAAGTTGTTATTTCTTTTGTTTTTTATTTATATTTAGTCAGGTGATACAGAAGTGATTATATTTTCCTTTGATGAATATACTTTTATATATCAGATTTAAACTAATATTTGTTCTTATTATATACTCTGCTTAATATAAACACTGAATGTTGACAAGGTCTGAATACTCTTTTGATAAAGATAGCTAATAACTTCAGTTTACTATCTAATAGGCTCCCAAAAATCAAGATGTACATGACTGTGATTCTGATAAGGATATTTTAACAGGTTGGATATTGTGACATAAACTGTTGTTGTGATGAGGACTGTGATGCAGATGATCGGCTGGTGTTTTCTCATTGTCTGGAGCGTCCACAGAATATATTAGGTGAGATGTTATGTGAGCTTCATTTTTTCTGAATTTATTATTGGTCACATAGATTCACTTATTGTTTATCTTATCATTTGGTTTTTGATACATAATGTAGGTAGGTAGGTCTCTCTCTCTCTCTCTCTCTCTCTCTCTCTCTCTCTCTCTCTCTCTCTCTCTCTCTCTCTCTCTCTCTCTCTCTCTCTCTCTCTCTCTCTCTTTCTCTCTCTCTCTCTCTCTCTCTCTTTTTCACTTTATTTCTTTCTTTTTCTTTCTCTCTTACTTTCACTCTCTCCTCTCTCTCCTCTCTCTCTTCTCTCCTCTCCATTTCTCTCTCTTGTGCTAAACCAGCCTAAGGAAATGTGTATATATATTTTGTTGTTTTGTATACAGAGAGTATAGAAAATGTTTATAAGTTTGCTAATCATTTTTTAAAAACTTATAGATAATTGTAGGCTAAACTCCCATGCAGAATTGTAGAATTGTGGAAATATGAATTAAAGAACTTAATCATGTGCCCCCCCTCCCCAGGAAATCCTTGGTTTAAAAGATTTTTGTATTATTATTTTTTTTTTTGCTTAAAAATGGTAAACACAACAGCAGAAGTTGGTCACTAATTCTTCATTGATTCATTTACTATGATCTTTACAGATCCAAGGTACTGTTTCCAGCAACGTCTCATCTTCAGTAACAACACAGAGTATACTGTAGAGTATAATGATGGTGGAGTATTCTGCATTGTAACAGACAATTTACCAGAACGGACTACCTACACAGCTGTAAAGGTTTGTTGAGTAGAATAACTCTGTTGTGTAAGAAGTGAGTTTTTTTTCAGGGTTAAAGAACATTAGTTTTAAAAGGCATAGATAGGTTTAACAAATCTTGTATCATTTCACTTCATGTGTAACAAAAGCCAATATCATTTCAGGGTGCAACTAGTATAGAAGAGTTTGAGGATCTTAAGAAGGAAGAACCTCATTACTCTTGGGTGCAGAGCCGACCCTCGCTCAAGTTTTCTGAAGAACCATATGTAGACGGCTCACCATTGTGGGGATTCAGCTATGAAGGATATGTTTTCAACATTGGTATGAAAGTGAATGTCTTTTATGCTAGAGAGCTATTGGGTTGTTCTAACATGACATAGCATAAGGAGTTAATTCTAGATTTTACTTTGTTGTTCACAAAGGTGTTCTTTTTTTATGTAAATGAGATTACATATTATATGTATTTTAGCTCTCTTATTGTGGAAAATGACACTGGCAACAGTAGTACTTAAATAGATGTAAATGTATAATAAGTATATATATGAATGTGGTAACACATTTTCATGTTATTGGAAATATACAAATTTATATCAAACTCAAGTGAGGCTATATATTTTGTTTGTTATCAAATTAATATTGCTAAAAGCTGTTCATCCATAAAGCTATATATTATTGTACTGCCATTTTCTGAGTATAGTGTCCAAGTAACACCAGCCATTGTCAGCAATAGACTGAATAGGCCATTGACCTTTTCCACTAATTGTGAAATATTTCTAGTTCCTTTTTCCCCTGCCTTTAAGTATGAGTATTAATTTCTCCTTTTTTCCTTGACTGTCCTGCAAATATTTCTTGCTCAGTTTTGCCATGATGGTACCAACAAATATTTTTTGTTTTGCAGGTATTCCTGACTCAGTAGTTGGAAATGAGTGTGAAGCTGAAACAGGCATGCGTTTCCTCCAGGATTTCCGGTCTTCCTGTTACAGGGTCTTCCATTACCTTCCTGAAGATTGCCAAATAAATCAAAAATTAAATGCACTTCATTATTTATCTTTCTATGTGATTGCAGACCCAAGTAACTTGTATCAGGTGTGTATTATGTATGAATGTGCACATGTGTACTTGGGTATGCATGTACTTACATGTGTATCGTTACTACATTTAAGTGTGAAAAGGAATAGACAGATAAAGTAAGAATTTGATCCTTTTATACTGGTCAAGTATTTCCCTCTATCTTTTTTTAAGTAATATAATTGTCTTTTTTTTTTCAGAATGCAAGTTCAGATAATTCAACTGAAGCACCAACAGTCTTACCCACAACAACAGAAAATCCAAGTGAGGAAACCTCAACTGATTCTTCTGCAACTTCAAATCCAGCTGAACTGTTTTTTTTTTCAGAATGCAAGTTCAGATAATTCAACTGAAGCACCAACAGTCTTACCCACAACAACAGAAAATCCAAGTGAGGAAACCTCAACTGATTCTTCTGCAACTTCAAATCCAGCTGAAACTGTTACTCCATTTGAGAGTGAAAGCACAACCACTGGTTCAACAAACAAGCAGTTAGAAAAGACAGACCTAAGTGAAGGAGTAAAAGCTGCATTGATGGATATAACTTCAGCGGAAGGTCTAATAATGTTGGAGGAAATGGTCGTGGATCAAATGCAACTTCTGCCAATCAACGTTTCCTTGTGTCATTGGGAAGATTCAAAAGAAGTCTGTGTAAACATACCTTTGACTGATATACCACAGCCATTATACATTAATGGTATTTGTCAAAATGTTGTTACAAGCATTTTTTACCAATTTACTCACAATGGCACAGAGGGTTTATCAAAGGTGCATGCAAAAGTTCATTTGACAAATGTCAGCGGCCAAATGACACAGTCATCTCAGACCTTTGAGACTAAGTACATGTGGGCATCTTCTGAAGACCTCATCATATTTGAAAGAAGTGGTCGGCCTGGCTATGCATATGGAAAGCCTTTGCTATTAGGAAAACATGTGGAAAATGTAACAGAGGAAGGTTAGTAAAGTATTAGTAACTTTGTGTAATCATTATGTATCATTACTTTTTTTTATTTTTTTGTTTTTTTCATTTTAATGCTACATTATTGTTTATATAAGTCTGTTATTTTTTCAGTGTTCCTCCATGCATTCATGAATTATTTGAGATTTTTTTTTAACTTCAGGAGATTTGAAAGAAGCCATCATCCTTGATATAGATCCTGAGAACTGGCTGACTGTACTGTCTCCAGGGCCAGAAGGGGCCTGCAACCACCGCACTAAGGTCACTTTTGGTCAAGATATCAGATCAGGATGTGCCGTGAAAGTAACCCAAAATGACTTAGCAAATCGGTGCCAAGCTTTACAGAAGAAATTTCAAGAACTTCTTCTGGGACCTGTATTGCTGAATTCTAATGGTTTAAGAATAGCATCGTATGGGGACTCAAATGTCAACAATGCAGCAGATTGGGTTCCAATTCTTGTACCAGAGAAACCCAGAGCTGTATCATTTTCAAGTGGGTAATCTGTGCTTGTATTATGTTCCAAAAAGAGATTCATAGCTTATATGATATTGTCAAAGAGTCAGAGGTTTTGGTTAGGATTACCTCTTTTCATTATCTGAAAAAGTAATTAACAAAAGTAATTATGTCAGATGGTAATTATTATATGAATTTGATTTCAGGTTCAATACTTGGTAAAACAAAGTGTGCTGAGTTGGTCCTCTCTATGCATCTAGAAATAGCCTTCAGTCTTCAGGGTGCATTAGCCAATCCACAAGCAAAAGTCGTGGGCATCGTTCTTCGTTATGGAGAACCTCAGGACATTGCCATCACTTGCACTGGACCATCTTGTCAGAACCAGACAGTTCCTGTAGAACTTGTGTCTTCAGTATCCTTTGTAGATGTCACTCAGTCTGCACAACCAGCATTTGCACAGCCACCAAGATTAGATTTAAAGCTACCTTATGACTTCTTTTATCCATTCCTGCCTTCATCAAGTATGCCAGTTTATGAGAAGAATTATATGTGGATTTTTATTTTAACGTCTTGTGTATTATTTGTTTAATCAGTTTTTCAAAAGATTGTTTTTTTATGCATTATAATATATGTTTTTTCCCAGAAAATGGTAAGAGGATGAAATGTGTCTGTATATATATTATATTTTTTTATTTAAACACATTAAATTTTTTTTAGGTTGGCTATTTTAATCAAGATCTGAAGAAAATCATATTCTATTTCTAATGTTAGTGATTATTCCTTATTTCTGACATGCATATCATTTGACTGTGATTTATTTATTGAGACCTATAAACTATTCTAAATGTCACACCTCCTTCAGAAATTTGACTCTTTATTTCATTACCCCATAGGGCCCCTTCACTTTCCCTTTCTTATCATGTAGCCAACATATACTAT